GGTACAGGAGCCTTTGGGAGTCATCAAGCAGCTTCCATTCCTCCCAGGAGAAGTACACAGCCACATCCTCAAAGGACACACAGTCCTGCCACAAAGGGGAAAGTCAAGTTTACTATGAAGCCTCCTTGTCAGAGACTCTCACCATCCTCAAGACAGTCACTCCCACTTAGCCTCCTATCCAAAGGGTACCAGGCTCTGAAGCTGTGACATCAGTCTGTCCTCAAGGTCCCATTGACCACTCTGTGCAGCACTCAGCAAGAACAGGCAGGTGGACAGATGGTGTCTCAGTTACTTTTCTATTACTGTCAAGAGACACCATGACCAAGGCACTTACAGAACCAAGAGGTTCTTGGGGACTTACAATGCAGAGAATGAGTCCATGACCCTCATGGCAGCAGCCATGCATGGCACTGCAGCAGCAGCTGAGACCTTGCATCCTGAACCACAGGTACCAGGCAGAGAGAGTTAACTGGGAATGGCATGGCATGGGCTTTTGAAACCTACAAGCCCACAGTGACACATTTCCTCCAGAAAGGCCACACCTCATAATCCTCCCCAAACTGTTCCACCAATGGGGACCAAGTATTCAAGTCTATGAGCCTATGGGAGGTGGGACGTGTTCACTGAAACCACCACAGCTGGAGTCAATCCTAGCTTGAAGGATGACATGGAAAGTCCCTCCTTTCTACCAGAGAATTCACATGGGCTCCTCCCAAGCAACTGCCTCACACAGACCCCATTTGGGTCACTGCTGCCCACTCTGTCCCATGCAGGCAGCCCAGGAAACCACCTAAGCCTACTCCACAGCATGCACATCAGTCTGCACACTAAACTTGCATTTCCACCGCAGGATGCAAGCCCAGCCCTCGGCTACTGTGCTACCAACCCCTATCTCCCACTAAACCCAGCAGCCCTCAGGCACACCTGAGGGTTCGCAGCATTCCCCGCCCATCTCACTTCCAGGCATCCTCTGATGCTCATCACTGGAGCTTTAAGACCTCTGAAACTTCAGCCCATGGTTGCCATAAATAGAAGCCTGGCCATGTATTCCCTGCTGTGGACATGGGGACCTTACATTCTGAGTACCTGCCAGGAAATCCAATGCAAGGATAGAGAGAATCCCAAGCGGAGTCCCAGGACACCACAATCACAGAGGTCTCTTATGTGAATACTCAGGGCTGTGATTCCTGGGCACCCTCCACTTACCTCTTCCTGGTTGGCAGGTTTCAATGAATAATGGGAAACTTGTGGATAAACAAGACCGTGAGTAAAGAACAAGGGTGTTGGTCAAGGGTGTTGGTATCCCAAAGGTTCATCCAAGTCCCCTCAAAAACCTACAGTCGGGTACACCCAACTGCCCCATGGGCTCCCTCCCTTAATAGTGTCCCTCACTGGGTGACCTTGGACAAGGACTCAATCTCCTCAAGTTGTTATTTGAGGATGGATAATAATTGCAGCCTAGCACTGGAGAGATGGCTCAGAGGTTGAGAACATTGGCTGCGCTTACAGAGGACCCCAGGTTTAATTCCTACGACCTACATAGCAGCTCCCAACTGCCTGTAACTCCAAGATCTGACACCTTCACACAGACACACACCAATGCACATAAAATAAAAATAAATAAATAATTTTTAGAAGCATGGCAGCTTGTCTTATCTTAGTGTTCCACTACTGTGAAAAGATATCACGAGTCAGGCAACTCTTATGAAAGATAACATTTAAATGGGGCTTGCTTAGTTTCACACGGTTAGTCCATGGCCACCATGGTGGGAAGCAGACAGACACGACACTGGGCAGGACCGGAGAACTTTACATCCTGACCTACAGGCAGCAGGCAGAGAGTGGAAACCTCCAAGTCCACTTCCAGCCACACTTCCTCCCATAGTACTACAGCCCCAAACCTTCTAATAGTTCTCAAACAGTTCCATTCCCCCAATGACTTAGCATTCAAATCTTTGAGCCTATGGGACCCATTCTCATTCAAACCAACACAAAGTTCTACTCCAAAAAGAGAATCATAGCATCAAAGCCACTCCTATGTGTCAAGCACTTGGCACAGACTCTGGCTGTGCTCATAACGAACGCTTCTGTGAAGAGTTTCACACACGTGTTTTCAAAATGCATGGTTTTATTTACACACATTTAATTAAGAGTTTGGTATTAGTCAGACATGATGCTGTAGACCTTTGTGCAACACTTGGAGAGTGGAAACAGGCAGACGTTTGTGTGTGAGAGAGAGACCAGCATGGGCTGCATAGGCCAGTTAGAGTCAGCTGCTGACATGGTGAGTCTCAGTGTAGAGGCGGGCACGGATAACAAAAACAGTAGACTTTATACCGAATGTCTTCACATAACTGCAAAGTACTTTCAGTAATATTTTTAACTCCTGCCTTTCACAAACACTCCCCCATGGGATCAACTTGTTTTTCTTTATTTAATTTTGCTTCATGGCTACACTTGGCTCAGCAGCAAGTCCTGATGGCTGAGTTTTTAGGACTCAGAATCACTGGAAAGACAGGAGAGACGGCTCAGCTGTTTAGGGCACTTCCTCCTTTTACAGACAACCAAAGTTCAGTTGGCAATCCTACCCCAAAGGAGAACCAGAAGAAGGCAGATCCCTGTGAATTCAAGGCTAGCCTGGTCTAAACGGTGAGATCCAGCCAAGACAAAAGAAAAGAAAAGAAAAGAAAGTTAAAAGAAAAGAAAAGAAAGTTAAAAGAAAAGAAAGTACATTTTTAAAAGCTGTGGTAGAGGCCCTGTGTGGGAAGCCACTCCTTTAATTACATCACTCAGGAGTTAAAGGTAGAAGGATCTCTGAGTTTGGAGACAGCCCTGGTATATTGAGAGAGTTCCAGAAGATAGCTGACCGAAAAATGGATGGATGCATCCATCGATGGACAGACTGACGGACGGACTGACAGATAGATAATGGAAAATAAGTCTATCAAAGATCTGAAGACTCTCACCACCTCTATGATTCACACTCCAATCCGACAGACAGATAACAGAAAATAAAGCCATCAAAGATCTGAAGACTCACCACCTCTATAATCCACACTCCAACCCGTGCAAAAATCCACAGGATTTACTCATGGATTCATAGGTCTCTGTTTCTACCCACATTACCCGACCTCAGCCCAACATTCCCCGGGGACGCTTGGCAAACTGAATAGATCGAATCCCTCCTATGTTTAAATCTCCCGTGGTGTCTCCACAAACAAAAGTCAGCGGCTTAGGTGTACTGATTATTCCCCCATCAGTTACCAGCAGGGGTCACTCCAGGGCTACCACTGTCTCTACCACTGTCTTTGAGCTCAGGCCCGCCCACAAGCCCTGGGAAGTACAGTCTACCAGACGCTCTGAGTAAGAGGGGATCGTTTTTCTAGCACACAGATGTCAGAAATAAAATCCACGTCCACAGGGTCCTGCAGGCTTGGACCCCGTTAGCTTCTGACCCAGATCTCAAAGCTCTAGAACTCAGCTGGCAGACGATCTCGAGGCACTCACCTGGGGCAGGGCTCCACCCGCAGCCTGCACCATCACCATCGGGCTCCACTGGCCAGCGGGGCCCTGGGACATGGCCATTCCTACTGGAAGTCTGGATCCGGTCAAACAGGTCGTCACGAACCTCAGATCCGTCTCTGTAATAGAGAACAAACGCTTCTAACGCTCCCAATTTCTTGCCATGACCAATGTAGATGAAACCAGTTTTCTGTGAATCAGACTGACAGATCCAGAAAGTTTCAAAGAAATCTACTGCACGCAAAGCCAAAAGTCCCGCCCAGCGTCGTTTTGTCGTCACCGAAACGCCCATTTTCATTGGTTGAGCTCGGAGCAATGTTTTCTGGACAATGTAGTCCAGAGAGGACATCTATAATTGCTGTCTGGTAGACTATTGTAATTACAGATGTGCTGATATTTCCTTGAGCTACATGGCCGGACTTGCTGCCCACTTAAATTACAGAACTGCAGGCAGAGGCAGGTGGATCTCTGGGATTAGAACAGCCATTGCCCAAGAAGGGCGGCCTGGGCCAAGAGACTGGCATAGCCAAAATTGGCTGAGTTATATAGGGGCCAGAGGAACTGGGAAGAGGGCAGCCCAGTCCAATAGTTGAGCTGCAAAGTTCAGGGTAAGGGAATTGGCTGTGCCAGCTAGGACGGTCCTATAACAGCTTGAGACTGAGGGATGCTAGGAGAACCTGGCGGTCAGTGTCGGCTTTGATAAGTTTGTGGCACTTCAGATAACTCGTTATCCCGGGTTGAAACCTAACAGATTTTAAACCTTTGCGTTTGTATGAATGGTACTTGCCAGATCCTTTTGCAAATAAAAGTGAAGGAATTATCATGGAGGGAGGAAAGAAAGAACACGTTTGGAATATTTCGCCACTGGTCTCTAGAATCCAGACTCTTCTCATTGTTACACATCAGAAATGACATCAGGAGTAACGTTTCTAGTGTTCATTCCCGCGCTAAGGGAAATTAGGGGAAGAGCAACGGGATTCAACCCAGGAAACCACCTTACTAGGGTGAGGATGCATTTCAGAGGGACCTGGGCTTCCCAGGGAAACGAGAACACTGGTGTGTGTGTGTGTAACCTCCACTCTGTCTCCAAGAGTCCCATTAACTCCTTACACCCTGCTTCTCCTCTCTCTCTCTCTCTCTCTCTCTCTCTCTCTCTCTCTCTCTGTGTGTGTGTGTGTGTGTGTGTGTGTGTGTGTGTCTGTTTTTCGAGACAGTTTTTCTGTTACCTTCCATCTCTTTACCTGTCTGGGTCTCTATGGTGCAAGCAACCTGTGCAGAAAGGCCTGAAGGTTGGCCCTGGGGCGGTTGCTTGCCTTTAACCCCAGTGGATCTCTGTTTGAGGCTAGCCCGGTCTTTGGAGTGAATTCAAGTACAGTCAAGGCTACATAGAGAAACACTGACTGGGAAAAAAGGGAGTGGGGGGAGGGGAGTCTGAAATCTGCATCACCATGGTGTGG